TAACGTGGTCGCCACCCGCGATTCCATTCGCACTCCCAAGAATAGACGTCAAGAACGTTTCCGAAGCTATCGGCCACCTTATCGCACCACTTGGGGTTGGAGTTGCACACAGACCGAAGGCGACCATCGGGTGTCATGTAATGAAACCGAAAAAACCCACTTCCATGACAAGAAACGTCTGCAGTCGTTTATCATATCTGGTGTAGTTGCGGACAAAGCAACTACATCGGAGAGACCACAAAACTGTTCCGAACGTAATTGGACGTACCTGCTGCAGCGGTGCGCAGGAATGACGCCAGTAATCAAGCTGAGACTCATTCAACGAGATCCGGCCACACATTCAAATTTGGTGAGGCCGAAATTCTCGCATGAGGTGACAACCGCGTGAGTCAGGAGCTGCTTGAATCATGGTCTACTGGCTCCCAGTCTATTAGCAAGCGTAACGACCTTCCTCTTCCATACTCGGTGCTGAGACTTCGCCTAGGCCCAGTAATTGGCCACGCGGGGAGCGAACAGGTGAACACTTTTCCCAACACCAGGGTCAGTGCATCAGATGGTAGAGCAGTCATCACCCCAGCATCCAACGCACGTGATGAAATTGCAGCAATTAACGACGCGAATGTCGGCCATCAAACAATTAGCACACCAAATGCGACGATCCCTGATGAAGGGGGAGAACCATGAATATTCATAGGTGCGCGGTAGCATGACGACTGTATCCTATAAATACTGCAGCCCCTTCTGCATGAACCACGCATTTCTGCAATTGTCTCTGATGATGAGTTTGAGCAGGAATCCGAAACGTCAGCCAATAAAGCTCTTGTCCCAGCGATCGTGTCTCCTTCTTCAAGTCATATTAGTGTCAAAAAGACAGTAAGCTCCGATTTTGTATAGACTACCGACGATTTAACGCGGTCACCTCCCGGGATTCCTTTCGCACTCCCAAGAATGGACGTCACCCTCGAAGCGCTAGCCGAAGCCAAGTGGTTTTCAACGTTAGACCTCAAGTCCTGTTATTGGCAGGTGGAGGTTGAACCTAAAAACCGCCCAAAAATGGCGTTTATACTACCACAGGGACTTTTCCAATTTGAAACCATGCCGATCGGGATATGCAACGCAGCCGAAATTTTCCAACGACTTATGCAGTCCGTCTTGGCCCACTTCTATCCCCCACAGCTGTCTGACATACATCGATGACATTGCCAATAGAAGCGAAGAGCCGAGTCCCAGGAAGTAGTCTTGACCCGTTTCTGCTCTTTTGTCTCTGATGATGGATTCAAGTAGGAATCCGAAACGTCAGGCTAATAAAGCTCTTGTCCCGGTGATTGCGTCTCCTTCTTCAATGCATCGATGACGTCATAGTTTTGGGCGCAAGGCCAGTCAACATAGAACGAACCTCGCCACAGTCTCCTCTGCCCTGCACGGTGCCACAAAAATGCAAGTTTATGAGCCGAAAAGTTACGAATTCAGCCCACAGGTCATCGAGGCGTTACAGGCGAAAGTAGAGGCCGTTAGATCATGGCCTACGCAGAAGACTTTAATGAAAGTCAGGGGCTTTCTCGGCCTGGCCTCCGTCATAAACAGCCAAACTCACTTCGAGACTTCCACCATGCGTTAGGAGTCGTAGCTTGGAGGATTCCTTAATTATGAACTAACAAGGTCCTACTCGGGACTGAGGCTCAGGCTGCAGTGTGACTTTTGTGGCGCTGTCTGAGGTTCTGGAACCCTCATTGTAGTCTAATTTGTGTAGTCGGAGATCAATAAGTGTGTGGCGCACGTAGATGTTGCTTCATGGCCCGTTAGTCCCTGCGCCCACGCCCATCTGCGATGGAAGCAGATAGTGAACGCACAAGCCGCTAGAGTCCGCATTATTATTTGAAAAAAAATTGAACACAAATCTCCACCTCGCGGAACTAGCACGCCGCTCATTCACCTGGACTGACGATTGTCAACGGACTTTCGATGAGTTAGAGGCAAAACTCATTTCGGCACCTACATTGATGCTACCAGATACGCGTCCTGAAGCTTCATCCCTCCTACTCGATAGCGATGCCGGCGGATTCGCGATCTGGGACGTGCTCTCACAAGCCGACGAGGCCGGGGTCGAGCGACCGATTTGCTTCGCGGACAAAACTACCGTACCTACAGACGAGAACTGTTAGCGCTTAGTAAATTTATCAAACAATTCAAACCGTTCTTAGTGGGAAAGCACTTCACTGTCCGTAACGACAACAAGGATTTACAGTGGCTACATAATATGAAAGAAGCCGAAGGCCAGCTAGCGATATGACAGGAGTTACTACAGGAATTTGAGTTAACCTGTCAGAATCGACCGAACCACCACCACTCCAATGCTGAGGAGCTACCTCGCCGCCCAGCTAATGCCGGTACAGCAGACACGGACGCAATGGATAAACACATAGCGGCTGCCATAATCAGCAACCCTACTCATTATCCTTGGGCAGTCGCGCAAAGTGCCGACCCGGACACGGCAATAATTTACGACCACCAATTGCATGGTTGGCACAGACGCGAAACCCGTGGCTCCAGGCAACCCATTGTGATACTGGTGAGACCACGGCCACTAAAGCCCCACCGAGGTCGGTCGTTACCTATGAACTCCAGAGAAGAATCAAGCGAATAATTTCAGAAATTATTCAGTGCAGGACATGAAGTTAAGTCTCCGGGACATGAACTGTTTAGGGTCAGAACCGAAATTTATATACTGGTGCGAACTCCATCAACCGCAGCGTGGCGCTTCCCGAAACTCACCAGGTCCTCCGGACGCAGCTCAGTGAACAGAAGAGCAGAGGCAGGCTGCGACAAGACAGACACCCAAGTACGGCGGAGTCCATGGGGGACACACGCGCAGCTGTACTACAACCCGAATCTGACGAAGGTGCGATCGTCACTACAGCCGCGTCGTCCACTTATCTGGCAGGTGTGAGGACGAACGGTCGCAGTAACGCTAACGGACCCGATGAAGGTGCTATCATCACTGCCACTCATGCGGCAGGTGAGGACACAAGTGGCTGCGGGGTGGCGAAAAAGATTGCCAGCCTAGGACGAGAGCTGAGGTCAATGCAAAACACGTGCGAGGACAGCTAGCGTCCGAACGACGGCCCCCGAATGGACTCAAACTCGTTGTAACAAGATCGTCATCGCCTATAAATACTGTGAGGCGCCGTACAACACTTACCTCCGACGATGAAAGCTTGTTTGTTTTTGAAACGTCAGGGCAATATAACTATGGTTCCCGAGATCGTCCCCCCTTCCCCCCTGCCGCCCTGACTTCATATGTAAGAAAACCCGTTTTGACGTGACTTTCACCCACCTATAAATACTGTGAGGCGCGATACCACACTCACCTCCGACGATGGAAGCTTGTATGTTTTTGAAACGTCAGGACAGTAAAACAATGGTTCCCGAGATTGCCTTTTCTTCTCATTTATGTCCGGGGACGCGCATCTTCGCTTCTATTAGCAATATATATATATATATTGCAAATAGAAAGAAAAATTCGAGTGGCCGGACATCTATGAGTAGGAGAGACAACCTCGGGAACCATGGTTGTATTGGCCTGACGTTTCAAAAGCAGACAAGCCTTCATTGTCGGAGGTGAGTAGCGTACGGCGTCACACAGTATCTATAGGGGGGATGGACGACAGTCATGTTAGCATAGTGTTAATTATACGGGGGAGTCGTTAATTGGCTTTGGCGTCACTTGTCCGCATACGCGCACAGGGATCGTCTCTGTAGTCGCCGGGGCAGAACGGGAGCGAGGGTGACTGCTGTCTATCTGCCTGTCTCTTGTCGTGGGCGGCAGTTGGGCGTTGGTAGCCATCGCCCGCATTCGCGTTGACCTTAGTTGCCGTCCTGGGCTGCTAGTCTTGATTGCATTCCCCCGACCATGTTTCTCGCCGTCTGCTGAAGTAGTGGTCGAGGCAGCAGTATTAGTGACTGTGCCTTCGTCGGGTTCGATTTGCGGTGTGGCTACGTGTTGGTCCGTCGTAGGTTCTCCCGTGTTTGGATTCACGTCTGGCCTAACTACGTGTTTGCCCTTTCATTCATTGAGCTGCCTGCGGAGGGCTTGGTAGGCTTCCGGAAGAGAGATACAGTGGTTTATTGAGGTAGTCTCCGTGTGCCAGGCCTCAATTGTTTCCCTGGCTACGCGGTCATTGCCTCGACCCAGAATTTTGGCGTTCTGGAGGGCAAAAGTGTGTCCAGAGTCCGCGCAGTGCTCCGCCACTAGAGACAGTGGGTCCATTCTCCTTACTGCCCGCCTGTGTTCGTTAATACGGGTTTATATCCGTTTGCCTGTCTCTCCGACGCAGTTAGCTTCACAAGAGTTACACTGGACCCGGTAAATGACATTTGTCATTTCACCTCGTGGTAGAGGGGCTTTCGGTCTCAAATCCAAATGTCGAATGATTGAGTCCGGTCGATGAGTGATTCCGATCCCCAAGGGTCTTAGGAGGCGGGAAACTGCCACAGAGACGCCGTCGATGTAGGGCAGTGCACGCCAAACGTTTGGTTGTTCTGTCGCCCGCTTTTGGCCTGATTTAGACGACCTGCCGCTCTCGATGAAGTTACGCGGGTATCCGTTGGCCATGAAAATGCGCTGAAGATAGCGGAGTTCTGTCCTTCTGTCATCCGGTTCGCTGCAGTGTGTTTCTGCTCTATTGTAGAGAGTTCGTAAACAGCCGCGTTTGTGACATAACGAGTGTTTATTGTGATAGCTTAGGATTTGTTGTGTGTTGGTAGCCTTCCTATGCACCGTCGTTTTTATGTGCCCGTTGGGTTTTCGATGGACAAGGACGTCCAGAAACGGCAGCTGGTTGTTGCTTTCGGCCTCCATCGTGAATCGGATGTCCGGAAAAACGGAACTCAGGGCATTGTGAAATTCCTCGATCATTTCTCGCTTGATGATGACAAGGTGTCGTCAACGTACCGAGTCCAAAACTTGGCCTGTGAGTGGTGAAAAACAGGCTCTCTAGTTTTTACAAAACTGCCTCAGCGATGAAGCCGGAAAGAGGCGATCCCATCGGCGTCCCTCTAATCTGTTGGAACATGGTTCCCTTGGAGGTGAAGTACGTCTTCAGACAGAATTTTAAGAGTTGTACTAGATGTCTCCGCTTCACTGACTCGTCCGTCTCGTCGTACTGCCGCTCGAGCGATTCGCTGACCGTTTCGATGGCCAGGTGCAGCGGGGTTAGAGTGAAGAGAGAGGTGACGTCAAATGACACCATGACCTCGTCTGCAGTGAGTTGCGTTCCCCTGAGTCGTTCCAGAAACTGAGTATCTGAACTGACCGTTGTTGTTGCGCCAGAGGTGAGCGGCCTCAGGTGTCGGAGCAGCCATTTAGCCAGATTGAATGTTGACCGGCAGCGCAGTGACACGATCGGTCGGAGGGGGACATCGACCATGTGCACTTTGGGTAGTCCGTAGAACCTTGGCGCGGCTGCATTTGTCGGTTTAAAGGTCAGAAGTACTGACTTACTTACTACTATGTTTGTCTGCATTTCGGCGAGCGTTTTGCCCATCTGCGTCCACAGCTTCCTTATCAGCTTATTATCACGTCGGAGGTAGGCCTGCCGATCATCCAGCATGTTCTTGGCCTTCAGAATGCAGTCGGTCTTGTCCAAGACAACTGTGGAATGCCCCTTGTCTGCTGGCTCTATTACAATGCTCGTATTGGCCCTCAGTTTCTTGAGAGCATCCTGTTCCGCTCTGGTGGTAACTGCGCGTGCTCTGGGCGCTCCTTCAGGACTGTCATCTTCGACTACGGAAATAAAACGGAGTTCTGAGCCAACCGGTTGCTAAATGCACTGAACTCATCGGCGAAGACGAAACTATGCTGTTGCAAGAGGCAATTGATAAACGGGCCAGCAAACTACGAACGAAACGAGATATCGAGCTGGCAGACAAGCTTCGAAATATTAGCCGCTCGTCTCAGGAGGAGAATGACGTCCTAGTCCACAATCTATGCTCCAAAGAGTTGACTTCTGAACAACTAAAAGTGCTGAGTCACGAGGTCTGCTTAAATACCACAGACGCTGATCCGGTCAACCTCGTGGCAACAGTGGAATAAATTCTCATGCAAATCAAGGAATCCGACGAAACAAAACATCTCGTTCGGCAACAGGTAACCGCATTGGTGATGGTACACAAAACACGCGCAATTATCACCAGAGCGGAACAGGGTGCTCTCAAAAATCTGAGGGCCAACAGGAGTTTGACCACAATATACCGCATTACAAGTGCCACATGGAATCTTATAGACTGCTTCTTTTTGATCCAAATAGCCAACGCTATCCTTGGGGTGTACAAGCTGGTTGCTTAGCGTGGTCTTCGGTTTGTGAGCCACTTGTATTCGGTGCTTCTTCAGGTGTCTTTCAACGAGTCCAGACACATTTTTAATGTAGGGAATCGTTTGCCAACGTTTTGGTCTTGTCGTCTGATCGGAAAAGTCTAATTCCTTATCTCTTTCTCTTGAGTGCCGCTGTTTCATGCATCGGATCAGACGCCAGGATCGAGTTAGATGTCACGTACAAAAATCTTAAGGAAAAGTGGAAGAGACGAAAGCCGATCAATACGGACTAACGCAAACGACGGCCGCTTATTGGCTGTAGCACCAAATGAGTATTGATTTTGTAGCACATTTGAAATGTTAATTGTTTTCTGCACATTTATTCTAGTCTGACGACGACAGGGGGAACCGTCGTCGAAAATTTATTGAATAAATTTTCTCTTTTTTCCAAAGAACGCAGTTGTCTTCAAATGCCATATATGTATATGGCCATTTTGGACACACTAGCCGGCTCACTGGGAAGATTGGTATCTTAAAAGTAACCTCAAATCCGGTTGCTTCATTTTGACAATTAAGAATTGGACTGCGACTATAGAGCAATTTTCTTACTCCATGCAACCACTTGGAATGAATGTGCGGGCAGCCAACCAGTCACTACAAAACAGTTTTTTTTTGTTCTCGGATGAGGATTTCTTTATGTTATGAATCTATGCAACTTACTTTTCCAGATAGCCATCCAGCCTCACTTACATTTTTTCATCCGGGTTACTGCAGTGGATCTGTGCCCGTTTGATGAGTGTTCGCACGTAGTGGCGTTTGCGAGCCACCGAATGGCTGCTATGAAAATTGAGAAGCTGTGTGGTGTTTGTCGCCTTCAGTGTCTGGATTTTGCTTGAAGAACACATTTAGGAAGTACAGCCGCTGCCCTTTGTTCCCATCGCCGGTGAATTGTATAACCGGGGAGATTGAGTTAAGCAGATTATGGAAATCCAGCAGCATTTCCTTCTTGATAATAGCAGATGTGTCTTCGACGTTAGAACGCCAAAAAATTGGCTCCTGCTAGATGGAGACAGATTTCTAGCTTTCGTGGGACCAGTTCTGCTATTAAACCAGTGATTGCGGAGCCTATTGAAGTCCGCTTGCTCTGCTCATAGGTTTCTCCCGCAAAGTCTCTTTAACAAGACTGAAACAGCTTCATGAGATATCTACTTTTAAACGAGCCCTGATTTTCATAATTTGCTGTTTCAAGTTTTGTGCGCCAGATTCGGTGGAATAGATGTGAATAACGACGTCACATCCAAATAGATCATGATTTCGTGGTTTTCATGGTAATAAGCTGTAAAAATGTGCATAGGTTTTACCTATACTGGAGGTGATTAGAGTGGATTTCTTACGAAGATCATTAGAAAAACGCGTCAAGGAAGAAGAACAGCACGCAGACAATGGAGATAGGCAGGCAAATATTGAGAATAAAGTCTGCTTACTAACAAACAGTTAGTAGCAAATGAGAGAAAAGATACATAAGTGAAGAAGAAGAGTCGAGCACCGGAACACTTTGTTTATTGTCCTGTGCTTTCAGACGCGTGCAGGAGTCCATCGTCAGAGGTAGTAGCAGCAATGGAACAGGCGACAGTTATAAGGCATGTAGGCCAATCACCGACCGACGGCGTAAGCCTGGAGGTGACTTCGCAGGACTCTGTACGCCGGCGCCAGATCGATAAATCTATTGACCGAGTTCTCATCCGAGGCCCAGGCTTCAATCAATCTTCGGCCTGTTTTGTTTCCGGCGTGGGCTACTATTTTGGTGGCTGCGAGGTTAAATTCTCGACCCATTGCGTAGGTGCGGACGGCCACTTGTGATAATAAGTCGGCTCGTCGCACAGCCAGCTTATGTTCGTGTATGCGCGGTCCGAGCATGCTCCTAGTTTGTCCTGTGTAGTTACAGAGACAATTTCGACACGGAATGCGATACACTACTCCAGAGTACTCTTCAGGCTTTAACCGTTCTTTGATTGTCATGACCTTATTGCGCATGATGTCTTTGGGACGGTGGGCAATTTAACACCTAGCTCCGCAGCAATGCGCTCGGTCGCTTCTGAAACGCCCTTGATGTATGGCAGAGAATGCCATATAGTCTGGCGCCGGCGTACAGAGTCCTGCGTAATCACCTCCAGACTTACGCCGTCGGTCGATGATTGGCCCACATGCCTCTTAACTGTCGCTTTTTCCGTTGCTGCTACTACCTCTGACGATGGACTCCTGTACGAGTCTGAAAACTCAGGACAATAAACAAAGTGTTCTGTCTGAAGAATTACTTTATCTTCTACGCGCTGTATTTACGGCCTCTTCCTGACTTCTCATCTCCCTGTGCCTCTTCCGGTTCTTTCTTCGCTACTTTCTTTGACATTCACAGCCTCC